GAGCCTACCTCCGGTCTTGACAGTCAGACTTCTTGGTCCATTCTCGATCTCATCGACACCCTTACCAAGCACGGTCAGGCTATTCTCTGCACCATTCACCAGCCCTCTGCCATGCTCTTCCAGCGTTTCGACCGTCTGCTCTTCCTCGCCAGAGGTGGTAAAACCGTCTACTTTGGTGAAATTGGTGAACAGTCTCGCACTCTGTCCAACTACTTTGAGAAGAATGGCGCCCCGAAGCTGTCTCCCGATGCTAACCCCGCCGAATGGATGCTTGAAGTTATTGGAGCAGCCCCCGGATCTCACAGTGATATTGACTGGCCTGCTGTGTGGCGCGAGAGCGACGAGCGCAAGGAAGTCCACAACCACCTCGCAACTCTCAAGTCGGATCTTTCTCTGAAGCCCGTGGAGACAAACACCAACGACACCTCCAGCTTCCGAGAATTTGCCGCCCCCTTCTCCGTTCAACTCTGGGAATGTCTCACCCGTGTCTTCAGTCAATACTGGAGAACCCCCGTTTACATCTACTCCAAGGCAGCTCTTTGCATCTTGACTGCCCTCTACATCGGTTTCTCATTCTTCCACGCCCAGAACAGTCAACAGGGTCTCCAGAACCAGATGTTCAGTATCTTCATGCTGATGACCATCTTCGGTAACTTGGTCCAACAAATCATGCCTCACTTCGTCACCCAGCGCTCCCTCTACGAAGTGCGCGAGCGTCCCTCCAAGTCTTACTCCTGGCAAGCATTCATGACAGCAAACATCCTCGTCGAACTCCCCTGGAACACTCTGATGTCCGTCCTCATGTTCGTCTGCTGGTACTACCCCATCGGTCTATACCGCAACGCCGAAGCCGCAGACGCAGTTGTCGAGCGCGGCGCTCTCATGTGGCTGCTGATCCTGGCATTCCTCCTCTTCACCTCGACTTTCGCCCACATGGTCATCGCCGGTATTGACCTAGCCGAGACGGGAGGAAACATCGCCAACCTGATCTTCTCCCTGTGTCTGATTTTCTGTGGTGTCCTCGCAACCCCGAACAGCATGCCCCGCTTCTGGATCTTCATGTATCGCGTCTCGCCATTCACCTATCTCGTCTCGGCAATGCTGTCCACCGGTACCGCCGGTGCCGCCGTGATCTGTGAAGATATCGAGTTGCTGCACTTCGCCCCTCCTTCCGGCCAGACTTGCAAGCAGTACCTGTTTGAGTATATGACGCAAACCGGTGGATATCTCACCGACCCCAATGCCACTGATTCTTGCTCTTACTGCGCTATCGGTGACACGGATACTTTCCTCAAGAGCGTGCTCAGTTACTACAAGGACGCCTGGCGCAATTTTGGTCTCATGTGGGTTTACATTATGTTCAACATTGCCGGTGCGGTCTTCATCTACTGGCTTGCTCGTGTCCCCAAGGGATCGCGCAGCAAGAACTAAGGATGGGCATCTTTGGTTTATCTTATATCTTATATCCTTTGGTCTTTGGACCTTACTTCATGGTTTTCACTTCTCTACTCTCTCTCAATCTCCCTCTCTTTTCATTTCTATCTCTCTTTCATCTCCATTTTCCATTGAACAGGCGTCTATCCCCCCAAAAGACTCTGCATTAGATCTCATCTTTATGATAGCGTGGGATTGCCCTTTTTGTCATTGTCTTGATTTTGCGCCTGCATTATTTTTTTGGCTCTCTTTGTGCATTATACTGTTTTCTTCGTGGATTTTGTACAAAGTGTGCCTTTTTTGTTGCCTTGGTTATGAATGTGTGTGTTTGGATCTTTACATCGGGTCTTTATAGTGGGATTACCCTAGATAGTCAAATATTAGAGCCTGGTTCGACTCAATGATCCTATATTACTTGTGTATGAGTAAATATGTATAAGAGATATGATATGGTATGATTCTTCAACTGTTAAGCACCGAAGTAACCCCAGAGATAATTAGAACAATATAAACATTACAGTACACGCTCACACCATCCATAGATGAGAAATGCACGCAAAAAACAACTCAACACAGTATCTTCAACCAAAAACAAAGGGAAAAAAAAAAAAACAGAGAATCACCAAGTAAAAGCCTCCTCCACAAAATCAACAACAGCCCCCCGTCCAATCCACCCCCTAGCAGCCCCCCGCACGTCATCCGCAAAAGCCCCAGGCCCACAAACCGAAACAAGCGCCGCCCCAACCCTCCCCGGCAAAACCTCATCAAGCACAACCTCAGGCCGACACCGGCCACCATGCATAAGCACCGTTGCAGACGGACTAACAATATCCGCCGCACGCCGTGGCTTCGACACGAAGAGCTTGACAACGAGTATATCCCGCCGTCCGGGCAGACGTAGGATCTGATCCATGAATGAACTAACCCACACCAGATGATCCGTTGAGCGAACGGACCAGATTAGGTAGATCTTTTTGGTGGCGCATGTTCCTTCGGACGCGGATTGCAGCAGGGAGCGCGTGAGCAGGAGGTGGTGGGTTATTCCTGCGCCGGCGCTGAAGAGGATTGTTGTGCCGTAGCTGGATGGGTTTGAGGGGTGGCTCCCGTATGGTCCTTCTATGAAGCCTGGGAGGGAGAGTGACTTTTGGGGCGCTTGGCTGGCGAGGTTGTAGAGGCGGCGGGTCATGCCTGCGCGGGCTGAGATTATGAGGGTTATTTGGGTTTTTGGGGAGTTGTTGTGTGGTGGTAGGGAGAAGTAGTCGGATTGTTTTTCGAGGGAGGAGGGGGTTAGAGGGATTGGGTTTGAGATTGAGGTTTTGGGGGTGAGTTTTGTGTTTGTGTTGAGTGATAGGGATGGGGGCGTGTGTGGTGATGGGAGGGCGTAGGGGCTGTCTGTTGATTCGGACCAGGCGATTGAGAATGGGTGCGACATCCACCAGCTTACGGCTGGGATGTAGGCGAAGACGTGGCAGCCTGGTTGGATGGCGACGCGCTTTGGGAGGTGGAAGGTTACGCGGCAGGCTTCGCCGGGGAGGGCGGTTACTGTCATTGAGGTTGTGCCTGATGTTGAGAGGTTGAGGCGAATTAGGCGGAAGAGACGGGCGCCTCGTTCAAGTAGCCAGATTGCTGCTATCACCTGGGACCAGCTGCGTTGTGGGAGGCTGTCTAGTTGGAGGTGGAGGTAGAGGCCTAGGAAGGCTAGGACTGCGGCCAGCTGGTGGAGGTGTAGGAAGGTCTCATAGAAGGCGTGGCGGATTGGGGAGGGCGAGTGCAGGCATAGGAAAATCATGGAGACTGTGCTGACTAGACCCCAGGTGAAGAAGGGAGTGTCGCGGAGACGGGCCAGCATGTGGGTTAAGTCTTGCTCCTCGCAGGCGTTGACGGCCCATGCTGCTGTGTGCACGACGGATTCGAGGACGACCATGCGGCCCAGCCAGCGGTGGAGCAGGTTGTATGTGTCGAAGCTGATGTGCAGGATTGAGATTAGGGGGTTGTTTCGGCCTGCGAGGAGGAAGAGGGGGACCATGTTGAGGACGGCCAGCGTCCCGGAGCGGCCGCGGAGTTCAGCTATCAGGGCTTTCTTTTCGTTGACACTGTAGTCTAGGTAGACGCAGTAGACGACTTGGCTGGTGAAGTAGAGGATGACCAGGATGGCCTGCAGCCGGGATGGAAGTGTGCCGACGTTGAGAGCAGAAGAAAGCTGCATCTCTCGGTTGTGTCGCTTCTTTCCTAACGGGGCGTATAAGAAGTGTTTCTTGAGGTTGGACCACCACGATGTGTTCTCCTGCGCCCAGAAGGTCTGCTGCCGTTTCGTTGTGCCAGAGGCGGTGATTTGACGGAGGTAGGCATGGCTGATCTGGGCGATTCGGCCACAGAATAATGCAATAGCGAGGACGACGAGAGATGTGTAGATGATTCGGGTGATGATCACATCGCGGGGGACGTCCACGCCGCCCAGTCCTCTGGAGTACTCATATATGTATGTTGTATTTGATCCGTAGCCTCGAACCGCAATGTGCGGATGGGTTGCTGCCATTGAAGAGCCCTAAGTGGGAAGGAAATATTGGATGTTGCCGTGGGCTTGTACGACGACGTTGTACCACGATATTGTAGTGAATGTTGTATGTATGTCGCCGGTCAACAGCAGGAGATTTGGATACTGGCTGGAGTTGAGCGCTTGAGGATTCGAAGTGAGAAAAGACCAGATGAAATGGAATGGAGCTTCGATATAGATGCTGAGAACAAAGACGCTGTGTCTATAATAGGAGCATTGTCGCAACAAAGAACAATGAGGATTGTAAGTCAACAAAGGCAGAATCTGAGGCATTCGAGAGAAATTAGCACGTCACCAAGAATCGAGTTGGGAGGGGAGACTGACTGGAATGTAAATGCAAGGGATAGCACGTTAAGGAGCGTACAGGTGGAATCACAAGTAGATCCAGTAGTGTAGATCGGTAGATCACTAGATCACTAGATCAAGGAAACCAGTAGATCAGATCAGATCAGATCAGATCAAAAAGAAAGACAATGGAACTCTAGACAATGAATCTAAACGAAGGTCTATGCGATCAACGCAGGAATGAAGAATGAAGTATGAAGTCACAGAAGGAAGAAGAAAGCTCTGGCCTCACCTGGGGAGGGACCCTGTCAGTTCATGTACTCCGTTGACGATGGCCTGATGGTGTTCAAGGCGCCTACCTCGACCCTATGGGACGAACGCCCTTCTGCACTCAAATACGCCGGTGTTTCGCAAGTTGCCAGGGATTTTCCATGCAGCCGCTGTGATTTGCTGTCGATCGGCCCTGCAGGGCTCGGCGTGCCGCCCAGACACCTTTCGAAGTAGACGAGAGACATTATAAATTATCATAAATTAAATGCGTAAGAGATTTCCTGATGTCGATACTTCCCCTTTGTGGTCTGACATTGGCTTTGTTTAGCGGTTTCACATCGGAGCTGTCATTCTTGCTGAAACTCTGGCGCATCCACTTCATAGGAGACATGGAGATACATGGATAGGAGATAAAGTGTCTATGCAGGAAATACAAGTATAAGTGCTTTATGACTTCTCACCGCCCCATCCAGCCACCATCCACTGTGAGAATCTCCCCCGACACATAACTACTAGCTCGACTCGCCAAGTACACCACAGCACCCTTGAAGTCCTCGGGATTTCCCCATCGGCCAGCAGGGATACGCGCCATAATCCCAGCATTGCGGTTTGCATCGTTGATAAGGGCAGTGTTCATATCGGTCGCGATATACCCAGGGGCAATAGCGTTGACATTAATCCCCTTGGCAATCCACTCATTAGACAACGCCTTGGTCAACTGCCCAATGCCACCCTTGGACGCCGCATAGGCCGGCACTGTGATCCCGCCCTGGAAGGTGAGTAGCGATGCGACGTTGATGATGGACCCCCGACGGCCGGAGGGAAACTCGGAGGCGTCACGGGCAAGCAAGTATGCCCCGAATTCCCGGCAAAGCGCAAACACCGAGGAGAGGTTGACTTCTAGGACCTGATTTTCCACAAATGAGACATTGAGACACCGAGGGGGGTCTTCAGGGGGTGTCTAGAATAGATTGGGCGGGGCTTACCTCGTCCCAGTCCGAGTCTGGGAACTGTTCGCTCGGGTGTCGCCGTTGAATCCCTGCGCAGTTCACTAGAATCTCGGGTTTGAGGCCTTGGCTGGTCACGGCGGGGATGATGTTTTTGACAGCTTGGCGATCTCCTAGTTCTGCGACGTGGATCCAGGCTTGACGACCGAGGCGGGTGATTTCGTCTTTAGTGACTGTGTTGGTGTTGTCTCTCTATGGGGTGTTAGTGTATTATCCATATATATCCCTCCATTCTTGGTGATTCCCGTACCTGAACCAGGATAACGTCGGCGCCAGCCTCGGCCAAGGCAAGGGCCATGGCTTGGCCAATGCCTCGTGTGCCACCGGTGACGAGGGCGGTTTTCCCGCTTAGGGAGAAGAGGGACATAACGTCTGCCATTGTGGTATCTGTGAATTAATTGTAATGAAAGAATTGAAGAGAAAAGAAGAATACATGAAATACATAAACTGACCCCAATGACGCGGGGTTTCTCCGATGTGGCAATTCCTATAACCGCCTCAATAGCCGTCGGCAATTGACAATTTTCCCCTCATAGAGATATAAGCAATTGTAGATGGAATTGTGAGGAAATGGCGCGTGGAGAAGACTTGACTCTCCGCAGGTTGACTTGGAGAAGATATATATCTATAGTTGGTAGACAGAGAAGTAGACAAAGACAGAGTAAATGTAGAGTTCACCGTTTCCCCACAGTCTCCCCGTACATCTGCGGGGGTTCTGCTCTTTCGCATCTTTGCATATTCCAATTTCACAGCTTCACGGCTTCAGCCTGAGATGTCTTAACAATGGACGACGAATCTCCGACAGAAACCTCAAGGCGCGACATCGCCAAACGAGTGTCACGAGCCTGCCTACACTGCAGACAGCGCAAGTCCCGATGTGACCTGTAAGAACACCCGGATTTCACATTCTCCAGCCTTACCCAGATCTACAGCTCATCCCGCTGATCGAAAACAGAGACAGCAACGGCAACCCAGGCAAACCACCCTGTCAGCGCTGCGTCCGCGAAAACCGCGAATGCATCTTAGGCGGCTCAAATCGTGGGGGCCGTCGAATCCGCAAGAACAAGATCAAAAACTTCACTCCGGCAAATCCCTCGCCAAGCAAAGATTCCGACGCTTCAAGTCCAGCTAATTCAGATAATCGCCCGGCACAATCACAACCTTCTTACCCCGGCCCTGTGGTCTTTTTACCTCCTAACCCGCCAGCCCCGGCTTCCGTCGCCGTCGAGGAAGACGATGCCTCTATAAACTCCGTTCCGCGCAATCCGTCCGACGCGTGGCAATGTCTGACCGGTATCGCGACGCAGGGCGCCGGCACGGCTGAACCGCGTCAGGACCGTGTTCGCTCGGAGTCGACTAGTTTCTCCACATATAATGGTCTGCGCGCTGGTGTAGTGTCGGACTTTACAACCCCAAACACTGGGATCAGGGCTTATAGACTTGTTCAATCGCGGTCACTAGATCCGGAGACGGTGTGGCAGCTTATTTCTCGCTACGCGGAGAACTTCCACCCGTACCTCCCGCTCGTGCCGCGCAAGTATTTCGTGCGCTCTGCCCTGGATGACTTTGCTGGTAATGAGAAGCACTTGCTCACCGCCGTTCTGACCATCGCGTCTAAGGATCTGGTCGATCAACCTGAGATCCATGAGTACTGCTCGAAATACATGCACGAATTGATCTCTGGCATTGCTGCCGGCGCAGAGTGTGATGTCGAAGCAGTGGAGGCGCTCTTACTACTGGCAGAGTGGGAACCGCAAGGTCTGCGACCTCGTATCGAGCGCGTGGGACGAGGCGAGGAAGACCGCGCTGCGTGGATGCATGTCGGGCTTGCTTTGCGCTCGGGATACTTTATTGGCATGGATCGCACGTCCTTCCGGGGTGATCCGTACGGTGATCAGGAGAGCGAGGCGCGTCGCCGGCTGGCGTGGGCTAGCTGTTATGTTTCTGATCGGTTGATTTCTGTGCGTATTGGACGTGCGTTTTGGTCGCGAGGACCTGGACCGATGACTGGTCTTGTCAGTCAGGATTTTCCTTCGTTGCAGCCTGTTAAGGAGGGCGATGAGGATTATTCGAAGATTTGGCAGGCTATGTTGGATTTGACGCAGCTTTATGGGAATGTTCATGAGGTTTTGTATTCTGGTATGCGGGCCAGTAACCAGATGATGTTGATGGGCGATTATGTGAAATATGTGGATGATTTCCGTCTTGCTATCTTGCGGTGGAAGTCACTTTGGGGTTCATTGGATTGTAAGTTGACCTTTATGGACTTCGGAAATGACTGGACTAACATTATAGGCTCACCACCCATGCGAGCAACTCTGCAGTTATCATATGAGTATCTGCGCTTATACACAACGGCATTTGCATTCCAAGCCGCCATCTCTCAATCGCTCGTCCAGCCGAAGACCGATGGGCAAGGCCAGCGAGAAAAACTACGATCAACATTCAAGAATGTGGCCTCGATGCAGGATTCGCGGTTCATCTATGAATCCGTCGACGCAGCTAAATCATACTTGACCATCCTTGTGGACTCGGTAGATCCGGAGAAGCATCTCCATTTCATGCCTCTCCGTTTCTATCTGTATGGAATCTACTCTGCTGTTTTCCTCTACAAAGTAAGCCATCAACACTCCCTTGAGTCCCTCTTGAATGCCCCTTGAACCCGGCTGACAGTTCAGGCCCGATCATTCGGGATGATGGTCCCATCAGAAGAAGCAAAAGTCCAAGGCCTCGTGGCGCGAACCACAGAAGTCCTCAAACAAGCAAGTGCCGGCACCGACGATGTCGGCTCACGCTACGCCCGCCTCCTCGAACTCCTCTGGAAACCCAAAGCAGCCAACTCCAACCCCTCTGAGGCCCAGAACAGCGATTTCTCACTGCAAGCCCTACCAAACCCGGTAGCAGACCCGGGCTACATGCAATTTAGTCCCGCAAACGATTTCTCATGGCTCGACTTGGAGGCTGTAGGCGACTATGTATCTGGAGACCAGATTTCCGGCGGGTTATTGGGCTTGGATGCATTCCAGAACGCATCTGATATGTATCAAGGCCAGGATCGATCGCAGGCGTGGCAACCGTCTGCTTGGATGGGTGATATGAGCAGTAATCTTCTGTTCTAGTTGTTTTCCAATCCGACGGATCGTATATACTCCGACGGCTAATGATGCGGGGCTGCGGGGGGTTCGGAGATCGCCCCGGTAGCCGAGGCCAGCAACATCGTCTTCGATTTGAGGGGATTTTGTTCTTCTATTTACTCACATCCCATCCATCCTCCAATTCAGTCGCATCAGTCGCATCATGTCTCTCAACGAGGTTCAGGGCCGTCTTGCCCTCATCACTGGCGCTTCGGGAGGGTAAGCTTTTACCCACCTACCCCAACATCACCACCATCAAACTCCAAACCAAACAAAAAACTAACAACGAACCCCCAGAATCGGAGCAGCCTGCGCACACCAACTCGCTGCCAATGGCATCCACCTCGCCCTCACATACGCAACAAACCTAACAGCAATGACCGAGCTAGTAACGGACCTAAAAAGCAAATACAGCAACGAAGGACTCCGCGTCTCAATCCACAAAGTAGACGTCGGCTCCGCGGACGACATCGAACGCATGTTTCAAGAAATTGACCAGGAACACGGCCACCGCCCAGACATCCTCGTCTCAAACGCCGGCTACGGCAAACGAGTCCCCAACGTCTGGGATTGCACCCTCGAGGAATTCGACTACACGCTCCAGGTTAACCTGCGCGCATCCTTCATCCTTGTCAAGGGTGTCGTTGAGCGGATGAAGAGTCAGCGCTGGGGACGTATTGTGTTTATGTCTTCTATTGCTGCGCAGGGGGGTGGGATCAATGGATGTCGTGCGTATCCTTCCCTTTCTCTCTCTCATCCTTCTATAGTATACGTTACACATGGCTAACTATTATATTTCTATAGATTACGCCGCATCAAAAGGCGGCCTAACAGGAATGATGAAAAACCTCTCAACCCGTCTTGCCGAGTTCAATATCAGTGTTAATGACGTTGCCCCGGCTATGATTGGTGATACGGGTATGATTCCTAATGCTGCCGCTATCCCGGAGGTCGCGGCAGGGATCCCGCTGGGCAGGTTGGGGACTCCTGAGGAGACGGCGAATGTTGTTACTATGTTGGTTAAAACGGGGTATATGACTGGCCAGAGTTTGTTGCTGGCTGGGGGGTTGAAGTGAATTTGTATTTATGGATATATATCTTTTGAGGTAGATAATTTGGATATAGTATTATATTGCTATTAATATGTAAATGCAAATGCAATATATTGATTCGTTAGACTCAATTATACCCTTCACTATCACTATTCCCATCTACATATACATCCAACTTTTCCACAGCACACCAAGGGTATCTAGCACAAAACTATTCCTATTCCATATCCACGCTTAAAGCAAACCGTTCGCCCGTCCCCGATTCTCAATAATGACCTTAACAACCGGTCTCCCATCCTCATCAACGCCAGCCCCAGCAAGCTGGAAAGCTCTAGCCCCCTCCTCAAGCCGAACCCGATGCGTAACAACCTTCTCCTCAACACTCCTCATCTTCCCACTAGCAAGCAAAGCAATCGCAGCAGGATACGCAGCCCCGTCATACCGGAACACACCGATAATATCAACCTCCCGCAACGCAGCAGCGCCAACAGGAACCGTCTGCACCGGATTACCCATTCCAATCTGGACGAGGACGCCGCCGGGCGCCGAGGCGTAGATTCCCGCTTGTACGCAGGCCGGTACACCAGTGCAGTCGTAGACACGGCTGAAACCAGGCATTGTCAAGCCGGACTCTGACGAGGATGCGGCTTCGGTAAGTGTCGCAGCGACAGATTGCGCAGTAGACAATGCGTACGCCGTCTGCTCTGCATGCGGGGCATCCTTCGCGGGAGGTGGATTCGAAGGATCACCACGGGGAATCAGGGCAGTCTTAAGACCCAACCCCATGGACTTGGCGATTTCCAGACGTCGCTCGTCGATATCCGCGACGAGGATCGAAGTGAAGTTCTCACTCGCGGCAAGAGCACCGGCGATTAAGAGGCCGATGGCACCAGCGCCGAAGACAAGCGCTGCTGTTTCTTCGCCGGCCGCGGCGTTCAATTCTACTTCTTCTTTGGTGGGTGGGTGGGAGCGGCGCACTGCGTGCAGGCAGACGGCGAGCGGTTCGACAAGGGCGCCTGCTGCGTCGCTGACGCTGTCTGGGATTGCGTGACACATATCTGCTGGGTGGTTTGTGCGGTCCATTAGGGTTCCGTCGAGGTGTGGGTATGTTTTTGCGCTGCTGCGGAAGCGCATTTCTTTGCAGATGTTGTACCGGCCTTGTTTGCAGAGGGCGCAGGTTCGGCAGGGCAGGCCGACTTCTAGGGCGACTCTGTCGCCGGGTTTTAGGTTGGAAACGCTGCTTCCTGTTGCTGTTACTGTGCCTGCTGATTCGTGGCCTAGGCACATTGGTTCCCGGACGACGAAGTCGCCGTTGCGGCCGTGGCTGTAGTAGTGGAGGTCTGAGCCGCAGAGGCCTGTTGCGCGGATTGCGACTTGGACTTCGTGCGCGCTTGGCGCGGAGACTGTGCGTTGTTCCTGGGGTTGTTAGGGGTTTGTATAGAAGTGGAGATGGTGGTGCTTACAACGCGGAGGTCCTTTGCGCCGTGGAGGACGAGCGCGGTGGTGGATGTGTCTGTCATGATTGCGGTTGGATGGTCAGTAGCAGTGGCAGTGGCAGTGAGAGTCAATGGATATAAGTAAAAGAGAGAAGTAAACCGATTCCCGGCAACCCCGCTGACGGCATTTGGAGAATCGGCCCGTTGTGTTTTCCCCCACGGTGAAGTGGAGAGATTTGGCCAACGGAGTAACTCCGTGCTGCTGCTCGGCTATTGAGATGATTTGGAGTAACTTCATTTCCCGACGTGGGGGGCAGCCTTCATATCAGTAAGTTATTTCATGAGGGTATTCAATAGTACATGCATAGACATTGAATTGAATAGCAAGTGTAGGAGTATAATATCTATATCATCACCATCCACAGTAAATCTACACTACATCTACATCTACATCTACAACTACAGCGCTGTATACCCTCATCTATACTGTGGGGCAATGACATCGCGACACATGGGGGTGCGATAGCGGGGGCGCAAGGCAATTCTTTCTCCCTTTCGCGCGCAATTGCTTTTTCTTTCCTTATTCTAATCTCACACTCCTCGCTGTACTCATAACATCACAAGGTAAGCAGTATATCAGCGACATCATTGCGCGCATCTAACATCCCCGCATAGTCTCCAAATCACAAATTCACCATGTCGCAATCAGCCCTCCTCATCGGAGAAATCTCACACGCGCGCAAGGAATGGGAGAGTCTCTCCTCGAAGTTGACATTGAAGGTACGTCCTCTAGCTATGTATCGCGACCAGAAATTAAGATAGAACAGGAATTCCCTAGCGGAACACGAGAGGAGTTCATCGCGAACTGCAAGGCGGGCCAGTATGACGATGTAGTAGCTCTCTACCGGTCTAATACTTCCACGAAGGTAGACATTGTCCCAATTTTTCAGATGAGTCCTTCACTAACCATTTACAGTACACTGGTCCCTTCAATGCAGAGATGGTCGCCGCCCTGCCCAAGTCGCTGAAGTATATTTGCCACAATGGTGCCGGATACGATAACATCGATGTCGCTGCTTGCTCAGAGAGAAACATTGCCGTGTCTAGCACACCTGTCGCGGTCAATGATGCGACTGCCGATGTAGGCATCTTCTTGATGATTGGTGCGCTGCGCCAGGCTCATGTGCCTATTATGGCTCTTAGGGAAGGTAAGTCTAACAGAAGATACACTATATCTGATCTAGTAGCTGACCACGCGACCCGATATCCAGGAAAGTGGCAGGGGCCAATCACCGCTGGAGGAAAGCAAGAGCGCGCCACGCTCGGCCATGATCCTAAGGGCAAGGTCCTTGGTATTCTGGGTATGGGAGGTATCGGCCGGGTAAGTTGTGCATACACAGATCCTTAAGTTGTCTGCGAGGTTTGCTAACCCTTATCTCAATTTGCAGGAAATGGCCATCCGCGCCAAAGCTTTCGGCATGAAGATCCAATACCACAACCGCTCCCGGCTACCAGCGGAACTAGAAGGTGGCGCAACTTACGTTTCCTTCGATGAGTTGCTTGCCAATGCAGACGTGCTCAGTTTGAACCTCGCGTTGAATGCTTCAACACGCCATATCATCGGTGCCACTGAGTTTGGCAAGATGAAGGATGGTGTTGTGATTGTCAACACGGCGCGTGGAGCGTTGATTGATGAGAAGGCGCTTGTTGCGGCGCTTGAGTCTGGCAAGGTATGTACCTGGAGTTATCCATACTCCATGAGGACCAATTTGACTGACGGTTGCTGTTTAGGTGCGCTCTGCTGGTCTGGATGTGTATGAATGCGAGCCTGAGATTGAACCTGGTCTTGTGAGCAACCCTCGTGTTATGCTGTTGCCTCATATTGGTACCATGACCTATGAGACTCAGAAGGAGATGGAGATTTTGGTGTTGGATAACCTGCGGTCGGCTGTTGAGAAGGGGCAGTTGATTACACAGGTGCCTGAGCAGAAAAAGTAGAAATATATAAGTAGAAAATAGATATAATAAATGGGACCTTAAGCTTAGCTTCTCCTACTGCAGGTGTACATGTGTTGAGTCAATTTTGTAACTAACTTAACGTTAACTAAGTTGAAATGACACCTGTTTCCCAAGGTTATAGTTCCAAGGCTGACATGACTCAGCATTGACTAAGCCACCTGGGCAAATACCAGACCAACCACATTCGGCTAGCGTTAGGGCTCGCTTAGGGCCAGAGCGCCAAGAGCGAAAAAACCGCACCAAACCTGGTGGCTCAAGCGACCGCCGGCCGACGACGAAAAGCGACAACAATTCATCACCGAGGACCATCACACCCCCCTCGCCAACTCCTTCAAGATGGTGAGTGCTGCCTGTCCCCTTTATCGACAAATGAATCGGAATCCCATTCTCTACGACATGCCACTCGTGTGACGGCACATTCAATATCATATTCAATGTCCGATCGCCGGGTCGACCTCGCTGTCGTCAATTTCAACAACCATTGCTAACGAGCAATGCTCTATCCAGGTCCGTTACGCCGCCCAGGAGATCGAAAACGGCAAGAGCGCCCGCGCCCGGGGCTCTTACCTCCGTGTCAGCTTCAAGAACACCCGTGAGACCGCCCAGGCCATCAACGGCATGAAGCTGTCCAAGGCCGTTACCTTCCTCGAGAACGTCACCACCAAGACCATGGCCGTTCCCATGCGCCGCTACGCTGGCTCCACCGGTCGCACTGCCCAGGGTGAGTTACCCTTGAAAATTTCGATGATTGGACGGAAGATTTGTGGGATGGGAAATAGCATCGCCAATATTACGACAGCCATCGACATGCAGGGGTATAGGGAGAGGAAGATCCAAGAGACAAGATATGGGGTTATTGGCTTATTGGCGATGTTATGGAAAATTTCAATGCTGGATGAATTTTGAATTTTGAATGGGAACAAGGGCTGACCACTCCACAGGCAAGCAGTTCGGTGTCTCCAAGGCCCGCTGGCCCGTCAAGTCCGCTGAGCACATCCTTGATCTGCTCAAGAACGCCGAGGCCAACGCCGATGGCAAGGGTCTCGACACCAACGCCCTGGTTGTCAAGCGCATCCAGGTCAACCAGGCCCCCAAGGGTCGCCGCCGCACTTACCGTGCCCACGGTCGTGTACGTTTTCATCATTCTAACCATTTTTCGTCCAATGCTGATTATCCCAGATCAACCCTTACATGACCAACCCCTGCCACATCGAGCTCATCCTCACCGAGGCTGATGAGGAGGTCAAGAAGGGCCCCCAGGACCTCGAGAAGAAGACCCGCCTCTCTTCCCGCCAGCGTGGCACCCAGATCCGCCGTGCTCTCATTGAGGCATAAACGGATCGCATAAGAAGGTGTGAGGGGACGTGTTGAAAAGATTTTTGCGGTGGACGGGAAGGTTCGGAGTTCTACGGCATCAGCTGTGTATGTTGGAACGGAATTCGATACCGGATCATACAAGATTTTTAAGGTCATGGCGCCAACTTTCGGAGGAGAACCAAATAAAAAGTTTAAACGAATGGCCCTGGGTGATGGAAATAGGATTCTGTACTTCCCGATCCCTCATGATACAAACGTGGTTCTTTCTCCGTGACTATATGTGCATTCCATTCTGTTCAATATTTGACTTGTATATGTCTTTTCGACTTGTCTAGCGTAGAGACTGCAATAGTTTCCAAGGTTATACGTTATCTACAATGCTGACACCAACACTAATCTATCTAGGCAATCCAGATCCTGACTATACCAGTTCGGGTCCCCGACACCTATCTATAAAGCACGAAATGCCGAGGACGATAGCTTCAGCATTGGGATCTACATGCGGGGCAACCTGTATAAGAAGACCTGCAGTCCACAACTGTAGCTGATTCTAATATTCATCACTCATACCAGTACCATCATATATATCTCAACACCTACCAATATGTCCCTCAAAGATTACCGCCTCCTCTGCTTCGACGTCTACGGCACTCTTATAGACTGGGAAGGCGGCATCCTCTCTGCCCTCCAACCAATCCTCTCAAAAACAACGACACAATTCACCCGCGAGCACCTCCTAACAATCTTCCAAGAGTTGGAGAGCACCCAACAAAAGAAAACCCCAGACATGCTCTACTCAGATCTCCTAGCAACAGTCCACCCTATCCTCGCCACCCGCCTAGGATTAGACCCCCCCAGCACCGAAGAAAGCCAACAGTTCGGCAATTCAGTCGGAACATGGCCCGCCTTCCCAGATACCGTAGATGCCCTGCGCCGTCTATCAAAGCACTACAAGCTAGTCGTTCTCTCCAACGTGGACCGAGCCTCATTTGCTAAATCCAATGCTGGTAGTTTACAGGGTGTGCCCTTTGATATGGTGCTCACTGCACAGGATATCGGCAGTTACAAGCCCGATCTACGCAATTTCGAGTATATGCTCGAGGCTGTGGAAAGGGAGTTTGGCGTGCGTCCCGAGGAGGTGTTGCAGACTGCCCAGAGCCAGTTCCATGATCATCAGCCTGCAAGGAGGGTGGGGATTCGCTCGGTTTGGATTGAGCGGCCTGGGGCTACAATGGGGAATCTGGGAGATCCGATTTTTGATTGGCGGTTTGGGACTTTGGGGGAGATGGCTGATGCTCTTGAGTGACTTTGATATGTTCATGCATGACTTCGATACTCGATTTTTTGATGTACTGAGTACTTGAGAATGCATGATCGACGCTGTTGCTGGCGTGTACTTTATACATCGGCACGTGGCTGAGTCACCGGGAATAGAAACCTCCTGCGAGATATTTTGCCTGGAGCCTGGAGGAATCTTGGCATTTGCTGTATGGCTTCGTTGCGTACGTGGACGTATTTGCCACTGAAATGCCGTAGATATATTGACTCTGGTACCCTTTCTCGCTCAGCATGGACCTTGGCCTTAGCGAGGTTCCCTTTCTTCGCTAGTTCTGCAATGCGAGGCCCCGGCCCCCAATTACCCCCCCGGGACTATTCTGTGACAGCTCTCCTTCCTCCAAATTTCCCCTGAGAGAACCAAAGACAACACCATGAAGCGCTTTCTGGGTTCTTTGAGCAGGCGCTCGAGTGAGTCCTTCGTCTCCACACCTCCCGCAAATACACTAATCCAATCTACCAATCTAGGCTCAAGCGACAGTGTAGACCACCGCGACGACTCACCAGAAGCCATAATCGCAAAAGAATTGGTCCGTCCAGCAGCCACATCGAACAGAACCTCAAACTAACCAATAATTCAGACTGCCTTCTGCGAATCAAACAGCTCTTCGCAAGACGCGGTACGCAAGCTTCAACCTTGGATATCCCATAATCCCTATGAAACACCTCACTCACACACCGCCAGAACCATCAAGGAAACGAGTTCGTGCACCTCCCCCAAATAGTCGAAACAGCCGAATCAAGCCCCAATGCCGCCAAAGAAGCCGCCCTCCGAATCCGCAAATACCTCGCCGACCCAGCCGGAACCCCAAACCACGTCCAATACAATGCCCTCATGATAACCCGCATCTTAGTCGACAACCCCGGCCACACCTTCACCCGCAACTTCGACACGAAATTCGTTGCAACTATCAAGGAGCTCCTCCGCGCTGGTCGCGACTGGCACGTGCAGAGCTACCTCCGTCAGTACCTGGATACACTTGAGCAACAGCGCGGCTGGGACGAAGACCTCAAACTCCTGCTGCAGATGTGGGCGAAGGAAAAAACGAAACCGCAGCGCGGACTGGTGAGCCTCTCTTAGATTTTCTTGATCTCCAAGTCGAGAAAGCGTGCACAGAGAAAGTAGGCTAATTCCGGGCTATTGGCTTTGGTTGCACAGATTGATAGGTTCCCTATGGCTTCAGGTGTTGCAGCACCGCCTTTGCCGCCGCATCCGAATCCGTATCGTAGTGCCTATGCTGGTGCGGGGGCGCAGGCGTCTGCTCGACCGCCTGCGAATACACTACCCAACGCGGAAGAGTTAGCGGCGCGCGTTGAAGAGGCGAGGAACTCGGCTAAGCTACTCACGCAATTCGTGCAATCGACGCCGCCGGCCGAGCTGGAGGATAATGATCTCGTGAAGGAGTTTGTTGATCGCTGCCGCACCGGTTCGCGGCTTATTCAGGGTTATATTCATTCGACGAACCCCGCGCCGGATGAGGATACGTTGTTGACGCTTATTGAGACGAATGATGAGATTTCTGTTGCGTTGTCGCAGCAGCAGCGGGCTATGCTGAGGGCGCGTAAGGTGAGGGGGTCTTCGTCGCCTAGTTCGTCCAATGTGAATTCGCCTGAGCCGACGTCTCAGTCTCAGTCTCAGGGCTCTCCTTCTGGGGCTGCGGCGCCGAGGGAGCAGCCTTTGCCATCTGTTCCGGTTGCTACGGAGTTGCCGTCGACTGTTATGACCGGTGGTAGGACGTCAAATGCCACTACTGCTGCTCCTATTGCTGCTGCTACTGCTGCTCCTACTATTGGTAATACGGGCCGGCATGAGTATCGGTCTGAGGACTTCCAGGTTCAGAATCCCTTCGCTGATGACTATGTCACGGACGATTCTGATCATGGGAGGAATCAGACGCATCAGTCTCAGAGAGACCGGGTGCATTTCCAGCCTGCTGAGCAGGAGCGTTGATACACTCTCGGGTGGTGGTGATGCATCTTTATTCTTTTCTTGGACTTTTGGACTTTTGCGCTTGGTCGTTGTCTTGTCACTATTGCCGGCGCATAGCTATTTCCTGGTCTTTCGTTCTTCATTCGTTATGATACCTTGAGCATTGTCTTTTACAGATTTTTGAATTTATTTTCAACGTTTAAACAGCGTTATTTATACAGCTTACACAGGAGCGAGGTGTGCCAATATCGTTGTACTTCGCGTTGTGCTTTCAGTACATAGGTAGATCTTGTCAAATCGGAAGACCTGTTCTAGCCCACAAATCGCATCTCCGCTGCCTCTGGGTGGATTCCGTGATTCGCAGATAAATACGAGGTGATATACCATATTCCGTTTATGGATGCATGGCTGAATTTCCCATGTTCCGGTTAGGCTATGATGAATAGGCTATCCGGGAACGCGGAACGTCATCAACTCTCATAGTATAAGAACCACATCAGATCAGAACCAAACCACCGAATCAACCAAGCAACTTTCAAGTTTCTACGATCTCATCGCCAATCTTCAATCAATCAATCAACCATCAAAATGGCCCTCAAAACTACCATGCAGACCCTCGTACAAAAAACCGCCGCCTCAACCACCCTAACCCTAATTAACTCCCCAATCCCATCCCCAACCCCAAACTCCGACGAACACCTCATCCAAATAAAAGCCTGCTCACCCTGCTCCGGCGAACTTCTCTGGCCAAAGAACTTCCCCCCACCAACCGAGCGCCCCTTAATCCCCTGCCCAGACATGGCAGGAATAGTCATCTCCGCACCAGCCGACTCCCCCTTCCAACCCGGCGCGGAAGTCTACTCGCGCACTAATTACATTCGGCCGGGCAATGCGCGTGAATATTCCATTGCTGTTACTGAAGAGTTGGCGCGGAAACCGAAGGGACTGAGTTTCGTGCAGGCGGTTTCTATACCGCTTTCTGCTATGACGGCTTGGCAAATTCTTTTTGTCCATGCTTTCCCTACTGAGCAAGAGATGGGGATTGAAGAGGCCAAGGCTGTCTGGAAGGGGAAGAGGGTTCTTGTTACTGCTGCGTCTGGGGGTGTTGGGATGTGGGTTGTACAATTGGCGAGGATGCTTGGTGCGGAGGTTATTGGGACGTGCGGGAGTGGGAATGCCAATCTTGTGAGGGACCTTGGGGTTGGGGAGGTGCTTGATTATCGGAAGGTGGATTTGAAGGAGTGGGCTGGTCAGGATGGGAATGCGGTCGATGTTGTTGTTGATTGTGTTGGTCGGCAGGCTCTCGCTGATGCGTGGTGGACTGTTAAGGATGGTGGTGTTGTTTTGAGTATTTATCAGCCGCCTAGGGGGGTTTGTCCAGCTGGATTTGAGGGAACTGGCGTGAGGGATGTGTTCTTTGTTATGCAACCTGTTAGTAGGCAGCTGGAGGAGATTACGAGGTTGGCTGAGGCTGGGTTGTGTCGCGGGATAGTTGATAGTGTTTGGCCGCTGGAACAGTTCGAGGAGGCGTTTAAGAGGTTGGATGGGGGTCATGCGAAGGGCAAGATTGTGTTTGATCTGGAGCTGAATCGTTAGGCTAGTATGATTTGGAATATTCCATTTCAGTTGGGACTCGGACTATGATCTTTGAGACAGCTGCAATGTACTTGAATGCATGATGATCGTATGTTCTGTGGGATTAAGAGTTGATTGACTTCCCAATGCTCCCACGTGGTCTTATTTATGTAGTCTTGTTATAAACTCGTCTTCCAATGTTCATGTGTTCTCGTATCAAGCATGGAATCTACATATTATGGAAGTAAGGGCGCCGAATCCACATGCCTGGATGGTCGGTCCATATCTATAGTTGGGCGATGCTTACTATTCAGGGGGCCGAGACAACAAAGCCAGCCAGAAATTAAATTGGAGTATACCGTGAGCAAGGTGAACAAGGTATGGAAGATGAAAACTCGTTTTGACAGTTCGAAGCTTGTGCGTTTGAAGTATAAAACATAGTTCATTCATGATAGCAGGCGTCCATAGTCGGAATGATTAATAAAGGCTCAACTTGACAGGCAAACCAACCGGAATTTATCTCTATGCACTCTTTAATATGAAACCATCGAGGCTCCCAAAGTACCTAGTTAGTTTCACAAACCCCTGGCAGATGCAGGGCGACTATAGGTCGGGATTAGAGTCAAATTGGCGAAACGTCCGAGACCCACGATCATCTCTTTGACTCCACATGCTTAATTACGCAGAATATCCATCAATGACATGGCTTACAGCTCCATAACTGTCACTTGGCAGCTCCATCAACATGAAACGTTCATCCCAGTTCGGCGCGTGGGCCATGCTTGGCAGCCCTAGCTCCTGAACGTCGGGCTTGTCTCGGAAGAATCGGTCAAGTTCAATATTCACTTGCCGCCGGTCTCCAGAGAATGTCCCTGAATATATCCGATGTGTTTCAAGGCGCTACATGCAGCACTCTGGCCATGTGACGTCCATCATTGTGGAGTTTCTACTGTTTGTAGTTAATTAGCACTAAGGTGTTGAAGGGCTCTCCCCATGGCTATATAACAGGCAAATCCGCGACGGCCAAGTTGAGTATGCTGGCCAGTCCTTCTTGAATTTTTTCCCCATTCACATTCTTTTACTCCGGTCTGTGACCGTGCAGATTTTCATTCGTTATACATTCATCGGTACCGGTTTACCGTTCACTTCCATTCTCTCCATTTCCATATCCAACATCAAAATGATGAAGCAATTCACTCCCGTCCTGGCTTTCGCCAGCATGATCTCCATGGTCAACGCCCACGGCTTCGTCACCAGCCCTCAGGCCCGTATGCCCGGCTCCGCCATGGCCGCAGCTTGCGGTAACCAAGTCCAGGTGAACCAGCAGTCCGACAACTATGGCAACATCCAGGGCGAGCTCCAGGTTGCCTCCAGCCAGAGCGACTACAACGCCGCCGAGTGCGACATCTGGCTCTGCAAGGGCTACAAGTTCGCCGACAACAAGGATAACGTCCAATCCTACACCGCCGGCCAGAAGGTCGACTTCAAGGTCGACATCCGCGCTCCTCACACCGGTGTCGCTAACGTCTCCGTCGTCGATACTTCTTCCAACTCTGTCATCGGCCAGCCTCTCATCTCCTGGGACATCTATGCCTCCACTGCCACCGGTGTCACTTCCGATGAGACTAGCTTCTCGGTGACTATCCCCGATGGTCTCGGCAGCCAGTGTGGCACCGCTGGTGACTGTGTGCTGCAGTGGTACTGGTACGCCGAGTCTATCGACCAGACCTATGAGTCCTGTGTCGACTTCACTCTCGGCGGTGACTCTTCCAGCTCTGGCTCCAGCGGTTCCAGCTCCAGCGCTGTCGTCAGCTCTGCCCCCGCTACCTCCGCCACTGCTGTTGCTGCTACTACCTCTGCTGCCACTACCTCTGCTGCCACTACCTCTGCTGCCATCGCCATCGAGACCTCCATCTCAGCCCCCGTCGCTGCTCAGACTACCTTTGCCACCAGCGCCCGTCAATCAGCTTCCCCCTCCGAGGCCCCCAGCTCCGTCGTGGCTACCGCCAGCGCTGCCGGCTCGGCTCTGCCTTTCCCTACTGACAGTGCTGAGAGTGTCCTGAGCTGGGTTGAGTCTCTGCTCGGCAACTTGGTTGGCAGCAACTAAATGAAATGTCAAGTGGCTCGCTAGTTCGGGATATGCTAGACATACTGCTTCTGTCCTTAGATATACTTGTGTTTCTTCGGCTAGATATATTTATCAATACATTTTGGATCTTACCTGGCTCATCTTCTTTTCCTTTCTTCGCTGGTTGCGATGTAACGTTGGTTTATTTTTGCGATATCGGACGATTTTTTTATCACATTGCCCCGTACGGAGTATACTCTTTAGACAGCCCTGTTGTAACTTATAGTTCGTGGATAGTCCGGGGGTCATGGGGTATGCGGGGGTTCCATGGATCGGCAAATGCTGACCAAATGTCCGATAATCGCATCTTCCGCGGTCACCTCTTATTTGCAGGGCAACTTCATTCCTTCAATCTTCCAAGTATTAATACCTGGCTAAGACCAACTGCCATCTGGGTCATGTCATATAGACCATAGAATCCCCAACCATGCCAATCCGTCTCCAACAAAGACTATTCAACCTCAGCAAAAGGATAAACCCACGCCAATATACCACAATGACCAAAGCGAAAGACTGGAATGCAAGCCAATACCTCAAGTTCGAGAATGAACGCACCCTACCAACGCGCAATCTCCTCGACAGGGTGCCCCTATCATCACCAAAGAGGATCATCGACCTAGGATGCGGCCCGGGAAACTCAACATCAGTCCTGGCCACACGCTACCCAGACGCAAAGATCACAGGCCTGGACTCTTCACCTGACATGATCAAAAAAGCGCAGACTGTCCTCCCAGAGCGGGACTTCCATGTTGCAGATCTGACAACGTACAAGCCGGAGGCAGGCGACGCTGTCGACCTCTTCTTTTCTAGCGCTGTGTTCCATTGGTTGACAGCAGACGACCGGATCGCAGTTATCAGACGGCTGCTGGAGCCACAGGCCCCAGGATCTGTCTTTGCTATTCAGGTGCCGAATAACCTGAGTGAGCCGGTGCATGTGTTAATGCGTGAGACGGCGGCGGAGGGGCCATGGGCTGGGAAGTTGGCCGGGGTGCAGAGGAATGAGCTCGAGTCTGTACAGGTTATGTATGATCGGCTGAAGCCGTTTTGTGGGGAGGTTCATGTTTGGGAGACGAGTTATTATCATTCGGTTGAGGGGCCTGAGGCTGTTGTGGAGTGGGTTAAGGGGGCCGGGTTGAAGCCGTTTGTGGATCGGTTGGAGGGTGGCGAGAGGGAGGCGTTTTTGGAGGCATATTTGGAGAAGATCAAGAGGGCATATCCTGTCTCTGTTGATGGGAGGGTGTTGTTTAAATTTCCGCGGTTGTTTATGGTTGCTGTGAAATGAGAGACTGGGGGAAGGAATAAAGATGGAAATAAAAGGATGTTTGACATTGGCAGGAATCGACCCCTGGCGTTGCAGATTTGGTATTTCCTGTTAGGGATTTAGGCTTGGGAAGGGTCTTTCAGATTTCCGAATTTTGATGTTCGGATAGCCTCGTTTTTGACTTGAGATGGAGGTACCTCCACTTTTATTCCCCCGACTACTCCATATGAGGCTGTTTATATAACTCGGAAATGGGGCTGCTTGTTGCTGCTCCTCTCTAGCAGCTGTTGCCCAAATCTGAAGTCTCCACGATCCCTAACCCTTGAGATACAGCCATTTTCCCTGCCTGAGTGACATATCTCTTACATCTTCGCCCTATATCAAGCAAACAAAAGGCTTCTTTTTAACCAGCTCACTCCAGTGGCCCAAGGGGTTGTCATGGCCCGTCTTCGTCCTGCGGGGTAGCGAAGATAGATGGTCAAATTCCTTCACTGCCGGTTTGATGCTCATATACTGAAGTGATACCCAAGACTACATATAGGCACCCACTCAGGCGAATGGGAAACCCTACTCCTCCGTCTCGCTGAGAAGCCGTAGCTAGTAAGTTGATCTGATGGATATGGGCTGATGATTGGGGGGTCATGGATTGGGATCGCACCGCGGTGCCCCCATGTATTGTCCTACGAGCCCGGGAAAGGTCCGGGTTAATGAGATTTTTTAATCTTTTGCTTTGTTTTCATGAAGCTATTCTTGTGTCTCTTCTTGCTGTTCTGCTTGCCCTTCTTGGAGTGCTTTTACATGTCTTCCCTCCCCTTCTGCTCGATCTGCCCTCGTTCCCATATCCTCTCGACGAACATGAAGCTATTCCCATGACACGTCTTGCTGCTCTGCTTTCCATTTTTGCAAGTTGACCCAAATACAGGCGAGGCTATTCCCTTCCAGCTCCCCTTCCTGCCTAGTCACCAAGCTCGACCCTTGATAGATAAAGCTATGCCCTTACCACCTCTTCCTTCCACTCCTGCTCTGCCCCCTGCCTCCCACGTGCCATCCTGATTCTCCTTTCATCCAAATGAAGATATTCCCATTATCTTACCCTACTTCCCTGCCTCGTTCCCACTCTTGTTTATTACGACCATCCACACCAAACCACGCTCTCCCACCAATATTGTCGACCCTCTAGAATACTTGTCTCATGTCATGTCACTTGAGCCACGCACACTCATAACAGCAACAGACTTGCAGCCATCTGCCCTCTCACCACATACGAACTCAACTACAAAGCACCACATTGGTATCAACGTGTCACACTTTGATTGCAGCCTATACAGAGCGTTACCCAAGCATTACCCAACACGACTACAATCAAGCACAACAAAACCAACACTGCTCTAACGCTCAAAGAGCACCCGAGGCAGCAATCTTGATAGTACCGTCCGTGCGCCCACTTGAATCCAAGCTCTTACTCTCCATCTTCGAGAGTATGTCCTGTCCCGATACAACCTCCCCAAAGACAACATGCCTGCCATCCAGATGAGGAGTTTCGACGAACTACCAACACTATAAGTCAACTGTTCCCACAACAGTCACGCAGAGGTGGAGAGACTCACAGTGATGAAGAACTGAGACCCGTTAGTGTTCGGTCCCGCGTTAGCCATGGACAGCAGACCCGGCTTGGTATGCTTGATGCTGAAGTTCTCGTCTTTGAACTTCTCACCATATATCGATTTACCGCCTGTTCCCTGTGTGACATATTCATGTTAGCTTCGCTGGTTGAGAGATATGGATATCTTGAGACGTACGTTTCCGCGGGTAAAGTCACCACCCTGAGCCATGAACCTGGCAATTACACGGTGGAACGCCGAGCCTGCATATCCGAAGCCATTCTCGCCAGTTGCCAGGGCGCGGAAGTTACCAGCGGTCATTGGGACGACGTCGTCGTAGAGTTTGAACACGATGCGGCCCCATGATTCATCTAAAGATTATAAGTTATGACACGATGGAATAATTGAGATTGACATACTCTGCCCGCGGTTTGTATAGTCAATATCAAAGTAGACGTTCGACATGATGGATAGATTCTTCAATGGTGAGATTAGATTAGATGGTGAGAAGGAAGTTGAGGAGGCGGGGTATTAAAGAGAGGGGTTATGGCTTCTATACTTAGATGTCATGCATGAGGTCATGGTTGCAACTTGTCGATTCCATTGGCAGGTTGCGTGTTTGGATGTCAGATTCCGCATTGGATTGGCGAGCTCCAGCCCTGGTGGGGAGCGGATGCGCTCGGATCTATGCGTGCGGCATCGAGACGCGTTGGTGGGGAAGGGATGGGGTAGACACCTTGGCGGATTACAATAGATTCTATTCTTTTTTAACGAGGAAGAATGAAGTTCGAGAGCCTGATTTGTATAGGGTTTCACTTTCAATTATCGGTGTTCTCTGCTCAGGTTGTTTGGGACTAGCGTGCTTGGCCTATACTTGCCTCATCACTACAAGATTCATCTCTTGCATTGCATTGCACATAATTCCATCATTTGTGAGACAGCTATTCTCCAGCATTTTAGTCTGTGACTTTAGGCACTGTGAACCTCAACAGTACAGATTCAACCTAGCTCCGACTCTAGCTAGTTCGCATTGTGGAGCCCAATTCGACTTCAGAAACATGCCAGAGCCGACAGCTCCTAGTAGACGCCCGCTAATTTGCAACAAAGATGACACGTGAATTAATTAGCGCAACATGTTCAACGACAGAGAGGGTGACGCACTCGACGAGTCTCCTCTCAATTGGCCAAATCGACAGCCCTTTCGCCGGATATTGAGACATCAAACTTCCATTATTAATTCCCACCCCAGTCAATCGAGACCTTTATTGCCGAGTATAGATGATTGGATGTGTGGAATACGAAGACGAGCGGTTGATTTCGCAAAATCCTCATTTTGCCGTTGAGCACGGAACAACGTAGAAAACAATACCTCAACATTTCGGCGGGGATCAAACCACTTCCTTTCTGTTTGCTTCCCGTTCTCCTGTCGTAGCGAGATTACGATGCCGCTTAGGTTGCTGTCACTTTCCAAAAAGGGTAAGTGGCATGGCGGCAACGTGTGTTATTGGTTTATAGTAGCGGCGATCATATAGTAGCTTCATATTCCAACTCTGATTTCCACACGGACCCAGTGGGCTTGTCTTAGGCAGATGGCGGAAGGGTCTAGGAAGTAGACGGAGTCTCACACAACGAGGAGAATTCCAGTGAAGTGGGTCAGAAAAGCCGTAAATGGGAGCTATAGAGTAAGGCCATTGAATGGGTTAGGTATACCGCTGGGATACTATGTTGGGTGAAAAGTATCAAAATTAATTAAGCTAAGTGGTTGATCTCTTGTATTATGTACAGTATCAATTTTGAAGGTTCAAGTCCGTGAAGCTGGTTTAAATCACATCGCCGCACCGACGAGAAGCAGAGCTCCAGAGGCGAGCAGTGCGTTGAAGCCAGGGACAATGGAGCTGGCAGCACCTTTAGAAGACTCTGCAGAGGTGATAATCAGCCTACAACTCTCACATATGAATGAACCGAACGAAGAGTCATGAGAGAAGCTTACCCGATTTGGTGCACTGGTTCGTGAGGTCGGTGAATCGGTTCTGGAAATCCGATAGCTGGGTGGAAGCGTCTGCCAGGTCACTGGAGTCGCAACCCTTTTGAATACATGAGCTTAGGCTAGTGGCCGCGTTCTGGACGTCCGACGCGGAATCTTTGACACCGCAGAGACAGTCCGTGGTGGCTTTGTCGGAGCTTCCGCACTTGTCTTCGAGACCGGCGTCTTTGTAGAAGTCGTTAAGACATGTCTTCATGCATTGTGGCACGTCGCCCACGGTGTCCTTCCAGGTACTCTCGGCAATGGCGACGGAGGCGAGACTCAAGAGAGCGACGGGGAGGAATCGCATGATGCTGTTTCAGGGGGGAATTTATATTGACCGGGGTAGCAGGGCTGAAGCTCTGGAGGTTGCGACTATTGGGATTTGAAGAGAGGGAGGACGTACAAGAAAGCTGATACGGAACTTGGTATAGTGCGGCTCAGAGTTGGTTTATATAGGGCTGGTTTCGCTTCACTTCCTAGGTTTCCATTTTCTCCGCTTGAGCGAGAGCTCCATACGATGCCTGCGCCTTTCACGGTTATCTGTAAGAGGAAGTGCCAAGGGCGATGATCGCCTGGCGGAAGCTGTAATCCAGTCAAAACACGAGATGGGGCAAGATACGAGGCTGAAGAGACCTTAGCGAAGGGGTTTACTATACAACACGGGAATGCGTGGACGCTGAGCCGTGAAAGATCATCACTCCACAAATAGACTTGCGACCCCTGACTTCCTTTCTCAGTAAAACCATAGGCCAAGTTGTGGTGTTCGTTAATTTTCCCTGTCGATCAAAATCTCAGCGGCTCAAGAAAGCCCTTCCAGCCCCACTTAGCACCCAAGATGCTCGTACAGAGCCTCCAATCCCTTTTTCTTGGCGGGCATTTGTGTGATTAATTCTATGAACGCTCGTATTCTGAAATGAATGATTCGCGAAATATTGCCAATATAGGTAGATTCCCTTTCCCAATAGTGGTAACGGGTTCAACCGCCTAAAGACGTAGCCTTTGGAGAGCCACACGAGGAAAGGCCAACTATTCTTCCCTGACTAAATGGGCAAGGGGTAAAAGAGAAAGATAGCACTAACTTGATTTCGGTGGTCGCCCTGGGCTTGGTGGCCCATTGTTACCTGCATAGCCCCTCAAGTAACTGGCTCTTACAGTGGTCGTACTTGGTACTAGTAGTGGTGTGGAAGTCTATCTCAGGGGTCGGACAGATCTAGGAACGCAATCTAGATACCAGGAGCAACAGGAATCCTGTCAGAGTTCGGGCGTATGCCAATTAACAACCCAAGCACCCCCGATTCGTCACAACCCCAGGAGCACTCCATGCCCGTACAGGAGCTTGCAAAAATCTATGTAGTTAGCTGTTTCCGAAGACCTGATTGCACGTGTGCTGGAAATGATTTTTCCTCTGTCAGCGATCTATAGCATAGTTAAAAGTTGTCCCGCGTATTTTCGATAGTGGTTAGCTCTGGGAATGATGATTGGTCCCATTGTCAGCGGCTCTTTGAGAGAACTGATTCGCTATTTATACAAAGACACCACACCAAAGGACTTCAGGTATGATTAATAAATGACTACAATTGCTTGGTTCCTTTGAGAAGAACATTTCAAAATAAATAGGTTGCCTTTGAACTGTTTGGGTATAATGTTAAGATCCTAGTCCTAGTCCTATATACTTCTGCGGTAATGAGTTATGTACATATATACTACACCTTTATCGATCTTCGAATACAAAAACCAGATAACGAAGATTTCTGTTGTCCACCTCTTTTCGTTGACAGAGATAGGCGGAAGTGGTCAGAATCGGGCTATGCTTGCATTGACCTGAGCAAGAACCAGCTGCCAGGTTGCCCAGAATTGCACCACTTTGGTAGTCGCAGTCGTGAAACTAGCTCTGGGTTTCGAGTTGCGCTGTTTTCAGCCAAGCGTTGTCGCTATCAAACAGCACGGTACGTTGGTCCCTCGAACCATTGCAATTGCTCGCCCATAGTCAAATCACTTGTTCGGGGCGATATCGATGTCTGAGTGGTCACCGGCTTGTAATTGACCATCGATCTCTTCGAGTGCGGGACCGATATAGTTCTTCTTACCCCATACTCCATACCACACTCCCGAAATAACCACGAACCCGACAAACACAACACAGGCATAGTTCATTGTGTCTTTTGTGACGGGAATACTCGTCGGCATGGAGAAGAGTGGGATAGCAAGTAGGCACCAAGCTAAAAGGGAACAGAATTGTTAGAGAGCAGATAAAATGAAGGAAGACCATCATCCACTTACCAATGCAAACGACGTTGCAGAAGGTGCCGAGTAATCCAAGATTGTAAGAACCACGCTCAAGGTCCTTACGGCGGCGAAGAATCAAGGACACCGCGACAGGGCATGCATAACTCATTGTCAGGAAAATGACACCGACACCGGAGAACGCACTGAAAGCAGCACTTGAACCAAAGTAGATCAATCCGAGAAGCAGCTCAATGCCCATTCCAAGCAGTAATGAGTTCAATGGAATCTGCAGACGCCCATTTACATTTTTCCACCAGCCGGAGCCGGGAATGGCGCCATCACGAGCAAACGCCCAAGTGATCCGAGACGTAGCAGTGACACAGCCAATCCCACAGATCAGTCCGAGGACAATCAATGGAATCAGGAGACAGAATGCACCCGCGGAGTTGCCAGTCGCAGACTTCACAATAGTCGGAACAGGCTGAGCCGACGGGAGAGCCGCGAGCATGGCAACATCCGGAAGCACAAATGCGATAGGAATGAGGAATGCGAAACCGGCCAGGGCGTTGAGAGCAACACCACCGACGATAGCCCGGGGAACCTGGATGGCTGGTTGACGGACCTCCTCGCACATGCTATTCAAGTCAAAATCGAGGACATTAGATTGGGTGCGAGATACTCACGATGTGACCATTCCAGTAGCCGAAAGACCATATGCAGCCTGGAGCAAACCAATACAGAATGACCAACCATCTGGCCAGCCAGATTGGGGCTCGAACGAGGTGAAGACAAATTCAGCAGATCGGCGTCCGCTATGCGCGACAACCAGGATGGTAATCAGGATAGCTGTCACTCCAATAATGGTCCAGAAGATAGCAAAGGTCTGTTCAAGATTAGCAAGCGAATACCGACATCAAACACACAACATACCTCGATATGGGTGAGCCATCTATTCCCGAAAGTGGGAATAGCATGACAGAGAACAGTGATGGCGACGAAAATAAGATAAGTCTGATAAGTCTGCATATCGGCGGCAATACCAGTACCAGTAGAATCCTCAAAAACATTCAAACATTCGACGAAGAACAGCGCGGTCGCAAAGTTAACAGCCAGCGTGATAGTGATATTACCAGCGACAAAAGACCAACCACACACCCAAGCCGTGGCGCGACGACACCAGGCTGGCGAGAGGGCAAAAGTCTGGTAATAGACACCACCAGCAGTGGGATATACCGAGGTGATTTCAGCTAGAGAAACGCCTACGCACATCATGATCAGAGAAACGACAATCCAGCCCCAGATCATATTGGCCGAGCCTCCACCTATCAAGGCGTACGACATGGTGGTGGACAAGCCATATGGCACGGAGGCAAGGATGAAGCACATGAACACGACCTGCCATGTTGATCGGTTGCGGGACAGTTCTGCTGTATAACCAAGGGCTTCGAGGGTAGAATCTGCCGTGGGCGCGTCGGGTTTTGAGACTTCCATGATGTCGCTGGGGGGTTGTCGCTTGGGAGAATCAAAGTACTGAGATAGTGGCGCTTGGGAGTATCAAGGGGAGAGCATATACTGAGCATATACTAGCGCATGGGAGTATAGTATCAACTAGGAGCAGTTGGGCGTTGTCTAACGTGGCGGAGAAGAGGGCGCTGTCTAACGTTATGGCGTCGATGGGTGGCGTTCGGGCGTCGATGAAAAAGGGAAAAAGTGAAAAAACGCGGAAAACGTGGCGGTCGGGGCTTGACTTTCATAAAAGCATAAACCAACGTCTAATTCGCGCTTATTAACGGTCATTTAAGTTGAAACCGGTTTCATCCGGGTCCACTCGTAAAAATCTCTCACACGCGAGGTTTTACCGCATTAGACTGTGATATACTCCTTATTTCTGTTATAGCCATGGGGATTTCTAGAGAACAACGTATTCCACCCCGTATTGCGTTCATTCCAGAGGGAAACATTCAAGGCTGTTCGCTTGGGAAGCATCAATCTCTTGGCCCGTCAAAAGTCTCTTGACCCACTGGGGCGCAATCACCGTTTTAGGCAATGTGTTCCGGGTAAACGAATAGCTGCCCTCAAAGCTCAGGAGTAATCGATCAGGGTGAAAATACCTACTCTGGGGAAAAAGTGCAGCATGCTTGCGGGTGGTTGGGCTGAATTGTATAATAGTGATAAGTTAATGCGATAGAGAATACATCGAGCAATTGGAAGACACACAAGGTCCTGGGAACAATTACAGGTCATATCTATGTCCTCCTCGAAGGTATCACCTTGAAATCTCTCGGTTTGACGAACCATCTGGCACTTGTCGTCCACCCATCAACCCTGTTGTATTGACTCAACTCGAAATCAAAATCTCGCACCAACACTGGAATCAATTTACTCATTTCCAGTAATGAAATGTTCTTCCCAATGCAGGTTCTCGATCCCATACCAAACGGCATGAAGTTTTGCTCCATCAATTTTGACTGCTGTTCATCCGCTTCGAGCCATCGTTCAGGTCTGAAGGTAGCTGCATCCAGTCCATAGATATTTGTGTCGTAGTGTGAGACCCAACTGTTTACCCCAACATTTGTCTGTGACATTGTAGTCATGTTAGCTGCACTCACTAAGTTTCATGGTAAGGGGAGCCCTTACTCCTTCTGGGAAGAATTGGCCGGCAAGTACCTCCCCACCCTGGGGAACAACGCGGAACATTGGATATCCTGTAGCGGGGTGAACACGCAAGGCCTCTTTCATAACGGCCTGAAGATATGGCATTTCCTGTGTCTCTTTGAATGTGGGGTTGCCAGTGATCCCAGATGAGTTCATCTCCGCTCGCAGTCTCTCCATACATGCAGGGGCATGGAGCAAATGGTACAGAACTGAGCTTAAGCTGATAGCAGTGGTATCACTTCCCGCTCCAACATTCGAGCCAGCGGTGGCAAGTATATCGTAGTCGGAAAATTTCTCCGGATTCTGTGCTTGGGCTAGAAGGACCTTCATAGTCATATGAGTCGGCAGATCAGCGTGATAGTTCTTCATTATTGCTTTTGCCTCCTGGATGTGTCGGGAGCTGAAGTTATTCCCATAGCTTTGATCCATGCCTAGGTACTTGCCAACCTTCATGAACATTGGATATAGCCAGACATACAAGCCGAAATAGGAGCTTGCCGTCAAGGAGCCATCGAGGAATTCAATCATCTTTCCTACGTCTTTGCCCGCATCGAGGAACCCGAACCGATCACCGAACTGTTTTGGTTAATACAAGGTCATTGAGTGATAAAGCGCAGGATAGCCATAACACGCACAGTAATCTTTCCGATGACATCAAAAGCATAACACTGCAGCCAATGACCCATATCAATGAACTGGCCCCTCGTTGCAAAATCATCCAGTCGCTGCTTGAAAATATCGATGCAGTTGTCCACGAATGGCTCATATGCCACCAATGAGGTCATTGAATATAACGAGGCGACCTTTTTGCGATCCTCTGCATGCTTTTTAGAGGACCTCTCGGAGAACAGGTTTGTCAAACTTAGGTCGCTGCTAAAATTCCAGGCATCGTACCATTCCGACTTTAGATACTTAGAGCCATGACCGTAGATTATCCTTGTAGCCGAGGGATCGGAGATGCTGTACCAATTTGGTGCTATACGGACAATCGGGCCTGTAGTAATGGTATGAGCAAGGGGAGTGAGTTTGGCAGGAATGATACTAGCCATGTTGTTGATGCAGTCTGATGTTTGTATGGTGAAAATCACCCCGTTTCATTTGCCATAAGTACCAGAGGTTTGTGAAACGGCTGAGAGCTGGACCCGGGAGATAGAGACGAGCTGGAAATCTGATTGTAGAAATAATGAGCCGGATTATAAGGGCTGCAAGCGCTATAGGGATAAGCGTTGAAGGAGAGATCAATGACAACATAGCTCGAGATGGCAACCAAAATACTGTATTGTTGTATAAGTCCAGTCAAGTGTGGTGGAACAATTATCGGGAAGAAGAATGTGATAGATATGTTGCCCTTGCAGTTTCGGCCCTCCGAGTTGGCCTTTGCATAAAAACAGCCATGTTGTATGCTATCATCCACGCTCTTTCCCTGCCTAGGCGTCCGCTTATTCGTGCTAAGACCTCTGCAGTTCCAATCAGAATACCTTTAATGACTAAACGGGGAGATATAACGACGATCTTCAGAAAATCCTCTCCCATTATATGAGTCAGCGGAAGTAAGCGGAAGTAGAATGTGATATCGGCTCCGAAAGCCCAAAGAAAGACGTAACTTAGGACAAAATCTGAGACCTCTTCGAACCCACCACCCCCACAGACGGTGTGCAACCCCGGAAAAAAAGCCAGGTTAAGGTAAAAAGATTCGATAAGACCTTGCAACGACCCCGACGATGTTGCCCCTTTCCGTTCTTGTCCATTTACATTGCAATGATCGAGGACTTCACCCTTGGGATATGGGAGCATGAGTCTTAGTCTCAACGCATACTTTTAGAGAGAGACTTTCCTTTTGGTCCTTGAGCTCTATAGAAGCGCATTGCAAGACCTCGAGCACAAGACAGGAAAGGTCTTAACGAAGTTAGCAAGATCTCATACTCCGCAGTGGCGCACACACTCCAGTTCTAGATCATAGGCCCACTTTGAGATTGCAGCTGAATGTATATGCCTTATCAAGCTAGGCTGGAATACCTCGTATTAAGACACCTGTCATGAAGTCACTGCAGGCTGTGGTGTCTACTTAAATAGAATTATGCTAGCGAATTATTTTATGAATTACGGCCCCGGGCCCGGCCCCGCCTTCCCCACCGGCTAATGGGCTGACAATGAAGAACTTCGTATATACGGCGGAACCCTCCGGAGCCGAAACATATTATTTGAGAGGAGAAGTTCATCAAATGCGGTTAGTCTATGTTATCGTTGTATGCATGTACGAACAGGGAAAATTCGCCTAATCGGCCACCAATGAGCAGACTTGATTACATTGCACGATCATCGCCTGGTGCTACTAGATACGATCCTTGACAAGTATAAACAAGAGTAACGGGAGACCGAGCTACGATACGACGCACGTCTTTGCACGGAGAAGTACCCCGTACTTGTAGAAGACTCTATGCTACACGCTTTCGAGTGACGTCTATTATAAAACCACTAGTTTCCTATCTTCAATATGGATGAGCCACCCCACGAATGGCTACTGATGAATTTGTCTGGAACAGGATGGTCGTCTGGTTAGCCTGCACATACATATATATTTCCATACAGAAAGTATAATAGAACTAGGGCTAGAACCACAACTTTTAAAGCAGACAGAAAAACTAGAACTTCTGGCGTCTTTCACTCTAAGCTATAAGAAGGCTATCCTATGAGGGCGTACGAATGCCGAGAGACAGACAGTGGTATGCGCTCGTTGAAGTTTGGGTTTTACATCAGGTAGGCACACTAACGCATGATCTAATGCACAAGATCGACTAGGAGAAAGGGCCGAGATAGATGATCTTTACCCACCAGCGACTCATCATCAATGCCACCAGTAGTCATAAGGAAGCTATAGACAGCATGCGCTCGCATTGGTATAGGGGAGCTCGAGCAGACAAGATATTTGCTCGCCTCGCATTCAACTCGAGTGGTGGGCATATGAGGGGACCTCCTGTTGTGGGATCCGAGTCAGCAAGGATTGATCCAGTTGGACGAGGTGGTGTGCTTTACGTTGTTCATGAAGAATCTCCCGAGTGTACGCTTGAGACAGATAAACAATTAGGATCGTGATCATACCAGCTTACCAACTTCATCAGTTCCAATTCTGTTCGGCAATGCAGTCACCATTCATGCCATGTTGCGTTCATGTTCGTCGCACTCTCCGGCTGCCGAGGTGTCTGTACGGACAACCAAGTTGATTTCCAATCAACTTGGCCCCGTGTTGTATATACAGCCCTCTGTCTCCCTCTGGAATAAGCACAATCCAGACAACTCCTCTGGAATACAACAAATACATACGCTTAAGATCAGCCAGGTGTAGAAGAAGCATTTGATGAGTTGCCGCGCTGGGGTGCACCGGGTGTTTTCGGCAGAAAGCAGATACAATTTCATTATTCAAGATAACAAGGCGCGACTGATGGATTTTGAGAAAAGCCAACTATGCCATGGCGCTACTGCATATATGCGAGCTGAAATGGAGAGTCTAAGTGATGAATTGGTGGAGGACACAGGACGCGGTGCAGGTGGGCTCGCTGAAATCGGCCTGATTGAGAAAACGGTGAGCTCTACTACGACGGATTCCAGAACCATGATACTTAACCAACTAATCTTCTAAGATCCCTTTGTTACGCCAGCTGCCGTTGCTGCCAGAATGCCGTCATAACAATGTTCGAGTCGTATTCGCCTTCCAGTGCAATAGTCATTATCAAAGAGCCAGTTCATGATTTACCGAACGTCTCAAAAGTCCAGGGCAATACATAGAGAATTACGGTGTCTGTTGGAAACAACAGCCTTGAAACATCATTCAGAGGGACTTCATATGGTAACCTAATTGCTTTGATTAAAATTTACGTTGGAGTTCGTTCCATTCGTTAGCCAGGCATCCGCCATGATAATAACAATACCTCCATTTCACCTCATCAAAAAGAGACGAGATTGTCTCAGAAATGGGATGGCCAGAAAAAAACTCCATGCAATGTAAGTCATACATACATTGTAGGTTCAGTAACTTAAAACTTCGTTAACGTTCAACGTTAGCGCAGTCTACGATCGGCGCGATAAGAGATAAGCACTGCTACTTCCTCAATAATAAGTTAACTTAATTCATCCCTTACATTGTCTCATTCTTTCATTGTTCGTCCCGCCCATCATGGAGGAACATATTCGCCAGAGTCTTTCCAATCATCCGCATGCCTTCCAGAGCTTGCACCACACGAGTAGCTCGCCGTCCCAGCGCGACAGGATGGCCCACTCCAACGAAGCTACCTCCACCGCACTAGAGCACGAACTCACTGTGCTGCAACACCACCGCAGCGGCAGTGCGAGCGACGAAGAAGGCCAACCCCCACCGCGCTACACCCCCGAAAACGATCCTTTCCAGCTAGCCTCGAAGCTTAAGACCGAGGAGGAGATCCGACAGATCCGGGCGAATACCTCGAGGAAGCGTGATTCTGCCAATGCCACCAAAGGCCGGAAGGTTGCCGCCCTGGTGACGGACACCGGTCGTCTCGGAAGACAGGCCTTCATTACCAAGAAGCTGCAGGGCTTCTACGAGTCTCAGAATGAGAATATCGAGCGCATGCTGAAGCCCGTCGAGGAGCACCGCCGTGCCGCTCGCGAGTTGAACGTCGATAACCGTCTCAAATACCGCATTGCCGTGTACGGCAGTTTCGCTGCCAATGTGATTCTCTCTGTTGTTCAGGTCTACGGTGCCGTTTCCTCCGGGTCGCTGTCTCTATTCACAACCATGGCCGATGCCATCTTCGATCCTATGTCCAACCTCACCCTCCTCCTCTGCAACAAGGCTGTCAACCGTGTCGATCCGCGCAAGTTCCCCGCTGGAAAAGCCCGTATCGAAACCGCCGGAAATATCTGTTTCTGCTTCCTCATGACTGCCGTCTCATTCATTCTGATTGCATTCTCGATCCGTGAACTGGCTGTTGGCTCCGAGAATGATACCCAGTCTTTCCATCTTCCCTCCATCATCGCTGTTGCCGTTGCCTTTGCCACAAAACTTGCCTTGTTCCTGTACTGCTGGGCCTTGCGGAATCAAGTCTCGCAGATTCGCATTCTGTGGGAGGACCACCGCAACGATCTGTTCATCAACGGCTTTGGTATCTTGACCTCCGTTGGTGGCAGTAAGCTGCGCTGGTGGGTCGACCCAATGGGCGCTATCATTCTGTCCACACTGGTCAGTGTTCTGTGGCTGCACTCTGCCTACGGCGAGTTCCAGCTGCTGGTTGGTGTCACCGCCGACACCAAGATGCAGCAGCTCATTACCTATATCTGTATGTCAATCTCGCTCTCGATTATTTTCAAAAAAACCGTATGCTGACTTGTCTCCATAGCAATGACACACTCCCCCTTTATTACCGCCATCGACACTGTGCGCGCATACACCTCCGGTCCCCGTCTTCTTGTCGAAGTCGACGTCGTCATGGAAGCCAACGAGACCCTGCGCGCCACCCACGATGTCGCCGAGGAACTCCAGATCAAGCTTGAGTCCCTTCCCGACGTCGAGCGTGCTTATGTTCACGTTGACTATGAGACTACCCATAAGCCTGAGCATTTCCTGAAAAAGGAGCTTTGAGTAATACTTTGGCTTGTCTTTATTGACCTTTGTTTCGTTGCAAGACCTTGATGAACGCAGAGAAGCGCGCAGACCAAGCTACTAACAGGACACCCTGAGAACTGCCAGTGCGAGGTCTAAGTAAGGCTGACATGCATGATGAGGAACCTGCATGATCCATAACACCTCGCTTGCCTGCTTAGATAATCACTCATGTATTTAATGCCTTCTGAAGCAGCTATTAGTTTTATTACATCAAGTTACCTTTCCTGTATAGACTCCGTTGGCCGAATTCATCTTGCTCCTTGACCCTGGCAGGGTTCTCACAGCTACTTCGCTGCCGTGTTGATAGCGAAATAGCTGCGAGCATCCTACGAAACGCGCATTATTTGATGTATTTGGTTTGGGAGAGCGTCCGAGGTCTGTCTTAAAACAATTAATTCGAATCCCTGCATATATCCCACATGCTTCTCAGGGCTAGAGTCGCGCTTTTTCGCATTTTCGTAGTGCACAGAGTCTTAATAATTTGAAATGAGCCAGCCCATAAGGACGATGTGAGATAGCCCTCTCTCTATCTATACGGATAATCTCGATAGTCTTCAGCCTTGAGTTTTGACAATCATTTTGATCATTTACGTATAATATTCAAGTGTGTCATGAAGTGACACAGTGTCATGTATGAATGAACTATTTGGACAGCCTTCACATCAGCCAAGTAAGAAGTACGAATCGACTTGACTCAACGTCGCTCAACGTCACTCAACCAATTTATATACTGTAGTGGTGGAACCAGTGACAGTGGTACATTAGTGGCCTGAGGTATCACAAATGCCTCCGGAGATATGCAGTCTTCTCCCTCTAGAGAGAGGAGCATCATCCCATCATCCCAATATGACTACAGTTCTTCACCGGGTCCTTCATTCATGATATAGCTTCAAGTCCAGTACGATAGCCACCTACAGAGACCGCTCTCTACGTCTAGAACCGAGCGTGGGAGTGGTTGGTTGCGTCCTCTCTTCATTGATATCGACGCGTCTGCTTATGCCAGACTGCCATCGTGCCATCCCCATTTCACTTGTAGTTGAAGCTACATACATGGATATACGAACGAGCTACACATGAGAAAGAAGAAAGATCATAAAATAATTTTCATAGCATTGTATATCATCGCAAAGGAAGAAGCGAAGAAAGGAAGAGGAATCTATTAATGATCTCGTGAAACCGATGCCGGGTTGGTATCAAACAGAAACCGCCAAGATTTATAACCCGTATAGCAAGTGCTGAAGAGCAATTTAAGAAAATGAATGAGGGAGGGAAGGAGGTGGCCAGGTGATATTGATTTATTCGCGCAGTATTGTGTGGATGTGTAAAAAGGGAATAGAAGAGTAATGAAATGGAAGATGTTGGAGGTGGGCGGAGGAATGAATGGGAAAGGAAGGGGCTAGACTAGGATAGAGATACTCTAGGCAGTCTGCTGGAAGAGAGCGATGGTCGAGCAGTAGTTGCTCTTGTTTGGCTTCTGGGGAACCATGCTCTTGCCCTGGGAAGAGGTGACCATGTTGACGGCAGCCTTGGTGCTGAGACCGTAGAGGTGGATATCCGAGCAGTCGATTTCAACCATGTTCTCCTGACAGTCCTCGGCGTTGAGGCAGGACTGGGCATAGTTCTCGAAGAAGCTGTAGAGACCGGCGCCGTAGACGAAGACGTCAGACGACTCCAGAACACGCAGACCCCAGGACTTGCGGCAAGAATTGGTCGTGCAGTTGGAGAAGTCCGGGTCGTTCCACGAGTCCTGGGGAGTGTACGGGGTCAGGGAGGTAGGGTTGGACTGGTAGTAGGGGGTCTCGGATTGAATGAGACCCATGAAGACATGCTTGGCGTTGGACACCTGGTAGTTGTACAGCTGATGGTGCTCGGAGGAGGTACCCCACAGCCAGACGGGGCTCTGGGACTCGATGAGGACACCACGGCCGGTGTAGACATTGATCTGGTTGTGGTCCTCGAGGTCGAGTTCGTGGTCGGCGGTCCAGAACCAGCAGTTCTCGATGTAGGCGCTGGCCTTAGAGGTGACGTGCAGGAGCATGAAGGCGGCCATGCACTCCTTCTTGGGGGTGGTCTTCTCCTTGGGGGTCTTGGGGCAAGTGTCGCTCTGGAGCTCAGTGCCAGCAGCACCACCAATACGGAAGTGGACATCCCACATACCGGCGGAACCCTGGGAAGCGCCGGCAAGATTCCACTCCATGAGGATAGCACCAGGGGCGGCACCCTTAGTGGTGATGATGAGGTCACTCATCTCCACAGAGCCTGTCTCACCTTTCTGGCCGACCTGGAAGAGGGGAACGGGGTTCTCCTGATCGGCGAACTTCTTGCCGTGTGCCATGAGCATAGGCCAGATCTCACCAGTGATCTTGATGTCCTTGGGAATCTTGATGGTGGAGGTGATAACATAGGCACCGTGGTCGAAGTAGATAACCTGACCGTCCTTGTAGCTGTTGAAAATCTTCTGGATAGCCTCGGTGTCATCGGTGGTTCCATCACCCTTGGCACCAGCAGACTTGACGCTGACAAAGTTGGAGGCCTCAATTTCCTCGTAGAGGGGCTTGGAGCGTTCGAAAACGGCACCGTTCTTGAGAAGACCTGCGGGCTTGGAGGCAACCTTCATAGTGCTTTGGGTACGGGCAGAAGAAACAGCGTGTTGGGCACCGCAAGTGCCAGTACCGCCGCTGCTATCGCTGCCAGACTCAGAGGTAGATCCAGAGCCGCCGTTGGTGCTCTGGGTGGTACCAGTGGCAGCGGTAACGGGGGCAGTGTTGATAGCGGTGCCAGCGGGTTGTTGAACGACAGCACCGGTAGCAGAAGAGACAGCGGGAGCCTCAGACACGACGGGGACCTGGGAGGCAACAGGAGCCTGGCTGGTAGCAGGGGCAGCAGGAACAGCCTCAGAAGTCTCGGGAGTATCAGAGGCGCCACCGAGCAGAGAGTTCAAAGTGTCCAGAATAGGCAGACCGGTGTTAGACGAATCGATGACAGACCTTCCAGGCTCACCAGCGGTAAGAGGGAGCTCGGCAACATTACTGCTGACAGCTGGAACAGGCGAAGGAGCGGCAGCAGTTCCCATGGAAGCGGTCTTAGCAGGAGCAGGAGCACTCTCACTGGCACTGGCCAATCCGTGGGAGGCGGGGCAGGCGAAGACGGTGTGCATGACAGTCTGGACGACGGTGACCACCTCAGCCTCAGCCTCGGTGGCACGCTTGACAGTCTTGGAGGGAGTGTAAGTGTTACCCTGGACCCAGTTGTCGACGACAGAGCCACCGGCCAAGATGCTTTTACCATCAACGCCAGCAACGGCAACCTTGGAGCCGGAGAAGTCCACGTTGTCAAGAATGAGGTCACCACCACCGACAGGGATGCTATCCTTGGTCCAGGCAGTGACAATACCAGTGGGAGTGTTGGTCAACTTGCTGTCGAGCAGCATCACAGAGCCGACAGTCTGATTGGAAGGCGAAGTAGACATGTTCAATCCAACCCCACAATTGTTAATCTGAACAGACTTGAAGGTCCAAGCCCAGTTCCAGTTCATGAAAATGCCAGTCTGGCAGCCGTTGAAAGTCAAATTACGGGTAGTGAACTGCTGGTTACCAAGGAACATGCCGTAGTTACCGCCGTTGAAGGTCAAATCGGACATGAAACCACCGGATCCGTTGTCCATGAAAATACCCTGCTGCTTGTTGGCGTCACCACCACCCTTGACCATCTCGAAGCGGATGTTCTGCAAGCTGGTGGCCTGGCCGACTTGCCAGTGAATACCGGCACCAGAACCCCGGGGGACGCTAGTCAAATCAATGACCAGGTTGCGAATGGCACGGAAGAAGTTGTTCTGGTTGGTGAACCAGTTGGAGCCATCGTCCTCGTATGGATCGGCGTCAATCACGGCCATACCGGCGAACTTGGGCGAGGCCTTGATGACGGGCAGGTCAACAGCATCACCGACGATCTGGGTGTAGTAGTACTGCACGATCGGCTTGGAGACAACGTAAGTACCCGGCGGGAAATAAACGATGGCGGGAGTGGTGGTGGACGAGTCGCAGCCCTTTCCACAGCGACCACCGGAGGAGATGGCCTTGTTAATAGCGGCAGTGTCATCGGTAGATCCATCACCTGTCATGACATTAATATCACTTTCAAAATCCAAAGTATAGATGACTTACCAGTGGCACCAAAGTCCATCACATTTCGGAACACTTTATAGTCGGCACTCTTGGCAAAGGGCACGGTACCCTGGCGCTTCACATTGGCAACCCAGTAAGAGGACGCAGCAGATGTTTTCTCATGCGTCACAACTTGGAGGACATTCTTGACAGGCGTAACGGGGACTGTCACCGGGACAGCGCCAACCAAAGCTGAAGGAAGACCGAGTAGGAGGAAGATATGGGCAAGAAAGATTGCCATGGACGTTTGGAGAACGGCCATTTTCCAAGGATATCGCCGCACCAGCAGCGGGTAAAATGAGTATCAGATGAATACCTAATGAATTGATAGTTCAGTAACCAGTACTGAGTAAACTGTCGAGTCGCAGACCAGCAGCGATATGCAGAGTAGATGCAGGAAAAACAAAGAGGTAAAGAGTGAAGTATAAGGAGACAGCTCCTTCCAAATGAATGTATAGGGAACGCCACACAATAGGATTCTCCCCGAATGAATAGAAAGAAACAAAGAACAAAAACAACAAGGGTGACTGACTCTATAAAAAAGACTTCAGACTTCCCCTTTTCACCCTATCACACGCGCCCTCAGGTCCCCCGCCAATCGGAGGCTCGTGTGGGTATGGCGGAGACGAAGCTTGAAACGCGATATTTCGGGGTGAAACGCTGAAGGATGGTGATCACTGAGCCGAGTGTTGCAGATTAACCAATATAGGAATCGCGTGGGAAAAGTAGCGCTGATGTGTCGCGATCGGGTTTCAAGGCAAGCCACTCTTGTAACTCGTTCTAAATCGGCTCCACTGATTATTTGACCCCAAA